GGCTGCTGTCCTTGGCCACAGTGTCTCCAGGCTCTTCTCCATACCATCTGCTCAGCTCACGCCCCTTCCAGTCTGAGATGCCCGGCCATGCAGCCCATTACGGGGTCACCAGGACATTGGTCTGGTGGCATACTGGCCAAGGGACCTGGAAGTGAACTGGCACATGCTGGGTTGCCAACTGGTTGCCATCCCATAACATTGTAGGCAAAGGATGGGCAGGGGAGGTAAAGCCAAGGTCAAGGACGAGCAACAGAGCTCAGCCTCGGTTTCCCTGCTCAGGTCTTCACGTGGGAGGGCAGCAGGACCTCCATCAGGGCAAGGTCCCTACTGCGTAGCACATTTATATGTCCCCCCAGCTTTCGCACACCTACAAAGACACATGCACACGGACGCGCACCCACACGCATGCTCTATCTATGGCTCTTCATGGCCTTGACGAGCTCCTCCAGCTTCAGGGCAAGGTGCAGGTCACCCTTCACCTGCAGCCTTCCGCTCATGTAGGCACTCAAGGGGCGCAGGTCACCCAAGAAGAGGTCCTGAAGGTCTTCCTCTGCCACCTCCAGAATGACGTCGGGGTTGCCCTCAGGTACACCGTGGCCAGCCTGCCCGCTGCCTGGAGGACACGATGGGTGGGAGAAGGAGAAACAGCAGCCTTCAGAATACAGCCTTACCTGCTGGCATTTCTCCCCACTGTTTCATGAGGATTGAGTTGGGCCAGATGACAGACAAGGGCCTGGCAGGGGGATTTTAGAGACAAGAGTCCTTATGGAGACGAATTTCTCTTGCCTTGCTCCATCAACGTCCTGTTACAGCGGTCCACCACCAAGCCCTGTCCCACTTTTGCCATGGTATGCTGGTTTTGACTGGGATAGAGTTAATTTTTGCCACAGTAGATCGTATGGGGTCATCACTCCAAACATCCCCCCCGCCTTCCTCCTTCTTCCCCCTGCTTTATATGCTGGGTATGACATCATATGGTAAGGAATATCCCTTTTGTCCCTCCATCACTTGTCCCTTGGGCTGGTGGCACAGAAGATCCAAGAAAACCACAAAGTCTCTGCACCATCCCACTTGGCCAGCCACGAGGAGACCTGGCTGCCACTTTTCTATCAAAACTCTTTTTCTAAAGGGAAATTCATACTTTTAACCCAAAACAAATTACACTTTGGACTTCTAGGGAGCACAGACTCAAAGCCACGGTCACCAAACTGCAGTGCTCAGCTGATGGACCCTGGGGTGCCTTTCACGGAGCTACCGAATGGGGTTGGTTGGGGACCCCCTACCACCAAACGTGGTGGGGTTCACAGCATGCAAAGGGGGCACGGGCACAAAAAACCCTCCCACCTCTGACACAACAACCCCAAAGAGTGATGACCTGAGGAGAGGTCTATGAAGTAGGTGCTCCGGGCGCCGCTGGGCAGGGTGATGTTGACCTGGTAGGATGCTCCCACTTGGTCGACCAGGGCTTCGGAGAGGATGGGCTCCACTGCCGAAAGCAGTTCGTCTGCGCTGGGCTTTCTCTGGGTGCTGCCAGCGGTGGTGAGGAGGGGAGCGGTTGGAGGCTCCACCTCGTTCACCGTCTCCACGCTGGCTGCTGGGGACAAAGGGACAGAGAAGTGTTGAGGGGACACCTTTGAGTGGAGAACTTTGCTGGTCTGCATGGACCCAGCAGCAAAGGTCTCTGGAGCAGAGAAACCCACTCATCCAGCAAGTTTCCAGCTAAGCAAGAAGAGGACAACATTGTTTTGGCTGTTTGTACTGCCTGCTCCTCTGTCTGCCATGGGTTACTCTTCCCTTGATACCAGGGGGTGGAAAATTATACCTGAAAGAAATAGCAGGGCACAAATTGGTGCAGGGTTTCTGGAAAAAAAAAAAAGAAAAATCCATGTTGCCCTCAGATGTGACTCTCTTGGCAAACTCAGGTCTTTCTATATATCTTCCTGATGGAGATGCTGAGGTCTGAGATGGTCTGGAGCCCAAGCTCCTGTAGATCTGCTCCCGCCCTCCCCAGTCCCATCTCCAATGTCTCGTTAGAAAGGTTGAGTCGTGCCACGTGCCGTATGGAGCTGTGCCCAAAGCTGCCCTCTCTCCTCCCCCCTACCAGCCTATTTGTGCTGTGCTTGTAGGAATGTGATATCTCCCAGACTTTGACTCCTCTGTCAACCAGCCAATGGACACAAAGGTCATCAGGCAGCAGGGACATCCCCCAGCAGAGAAGCGGTGGCCCCGAGTTGGTTACCTGCCTCCGGAGCGCCGGTCCTGCTGCCTGCCAGAGCACTGCTGAAGAAACAGGCAGCCAGCTGCTGAAGGGTGCCATCCAACCCCTCCAGCCCAGGAACGGGTGGCATGGTGGACAGAGGGCCCACGGGGTTCTCCCGGGGTGGCTGCAGCACAGCCTCCATGCTCAGCTCCACCCGGTCCACCTCCAGGCCCCAGGACTTGGTCATGTTGTTAATCTCCAGCTGCAGAGCCAGGAAGAAAAGGAGAGGTGTTGGCAACCCAGGCAGAGCTGGGTAAGGGCATGGAGACCACCCACCATAGCACCCCCAACCATGAGCACCCCATAATTTATATTTCTGCTGCCCACCAGCTCTAGATGTGGGGTGCTAGACCAAGCTCCTGAAATACTAGGGCTGAGCAGTGAGGCCC